CTAGTTCACCCACCAACTCTAATTCAACTACCTATATGGACCAAAGTGCGGCCAAATCTCCCGCGTCATCAATCGGTGAATGTTTCGGCTTTTCGATTTCCCCCCAACGCAACATGCTGCATTTGAACAATGTTTCGCAAAATGCCTAGAGATTGATCTAATACACCGGCCCCATCACGATCTCGTAATCTGAATCTTATCAACTTCTATTTATGAGTCAACTCAGCCACGGTTTGCAATTTTTAATCACTCAATATTTTTTCTTACAATCATGATTTCTGTAAGTAAACTTGTAAAAAGTGTACCTACATGTAAGACAAATAATAACACCTCTTAAATATGTGTCTATTTTTTTACAAAATGATGGCGAAAAAACGTGATATAAATACACAAATAACTTTGTAATAAGCACATAAACTTTCTGCTAAATAATTAAAATAAAATAGGAAGAATAAATATAATTATATTCTCACGTAACAAAAAAAAAACACATACAACATATTTAGTCAAATTCTTAGTACTTAATCAAAAGTTAGGAGGTGAGTAAGCAATTTTAAGAAGTCCGGTTTATACAGTTAAATAAATAAAAATAATAAAAAATAAAAAACTTAAATACAGTTAAGTTTTTATTTAGTGTTTTTTACAGTTTCTGAGTGTAAGCTCTGAGCAGACATTTTCAATATACAGACTAATATCAAGGAATAAAGTTATACAATAGTGTTATGTTTATTTGTTGGCTAGATTGTACTCCGGGACGAAACATCGGAAAATTTGGGCTTCCTACTAATGTAAATATCCCTGCCAAGTTGTTTATAAAAAACCTGTTTTTATTTCCGGTTCTATACTACACTTCTACAATCACCCAGACCTCCTGAACTTTGGTTTCCTACCTACGTAAAAAACAGCCTGTATACATAAAAAATACATATAATATAACTACATATACTATTTGGAAATAAAAATGCTGATTTTTAAATTTTCCACTGTATGTGCCTGTCTACACGTCTTAGATTTTGTCTGTCATTTTATTATCATATTTCTTTAGTATGATTGTAACACGCCACCGATTAAATAAAGCTGATCTGCTTCCTTCCAGAGGCTTAACTGATTTTTATCAAAATAATATTTTTTGAATTTATTCAAATGAATTGAACGGACCTTATTTTTTAAATCTTATTATATTGTTTTTCTCAAACTTGCAGTTGAAAAACTGTTAGATATAGTTTTAGATACTACTGAAAACTTGATTGAGCTTGACACCTTGTGACGTCAGCATAGTATTTCCTTTCTCAAAACGACCTACGTTTCGATTCAATTCGATTAAAAATTGAATAATCCTGAAGCATGCACGTCTGGCTAAATGAATCGCGTAGATAAAAAGCAATAAACAGGTTGAGTGAACGGAATGTACATAAATGCCAATAGACTTAAGAAACAACGCATTCATAGACGCTTTAATGGCATTTTGACTGATTAAAAGCAATTCACTATCATTGATAGTAAGCAGTCTTATCATTCAAGTTGCAGATATGCAGGCATAAACGTCTACTTTTTTCGATAAGCTCTTGCAAGAAAACAACTATGTACGTGGATATTGTGTAAAGCAAATGAATATCAAGTTCTTTTTAAGGTCAATATTAGCAATTATAGTAACATGTGAATAACTCTTTTGCTAGAAAACAAATACACCTGTATGACATATACATACTTTCATAGAAGTAGCTGGTGACTGAAAAATATACAACAATATTAACTTTAATTTAGTTACTTAATTAATTAAGTTACTTAAGTAAATTTATTAAATTAAAAGCGCAAAAAGTTGTCTAGGGATGCTGGTATTGAATTGGCGACATGCCGATAATATTTTGGTAATATATGGGTAACATGAAATTGGTGAGTTCTTTCTTTCTTTCTTTATTATTTGCCTGTTATCACCAATATTAGGTATGAACCGAGCGTAAACTACATAATTGGTTCTAGCAGTTCAAAAAGCTGTTCTTTTTTTAAAAAAATTTAAAATAAATATGTAGTAAAATTCAGTACTTTGAGCAGATGAAAATTCAAGCTTTATTTGCTAAAAAATAAATCAATATTTAAAACTACAAGTAAGTATTCCAGATTAATTATAAACAGTAAAAAATAAAAATCCATAGGTACTGAAAATATTAACTCACTTGTGAACATTTTAGCAGCAAAAGCAAAACTTTTTAAAATGTGGAGCATCCACAAATTATTGTCCAAGTTTCAACTGCGTTCTTGAAAATATTTGATGATTAAAAAGTTTTGTCAGTTATATCGATATTAAATTTCTATCTCAAAAATTAATTTTTATCAATGTCTAAGTCTTACTTCGCACAAAATGGAATTTTTGAACATATAATCTGATACTTATTTTTAAAATAAATTCACTTTTTCTAACAACTTTTACAGTTTGTTGGGATAACGAAATATTAAACGGATTAATAGAATATACCTTAATTTATGTAAAGCACACTGAAGCAACAAACAAGGTGTAAAAAACCAGTCAAACACATATAAAACTACTTTCGAAGGACCAAAATAATGATTGAAACCTTATTCATTGTCATTATCAACAATCAAATTTAAAATTCGGTAACTAGCAATTCTTGGTTTATTAGAGTTTTGTAAAGTTCATTTGGTGAGACTTGGTAATAGCACTCCGCTTGTGGTCGCGCGCTATAAACGAAAAATAATTATGAGTAAGTAGTATACCTATGTTTTACGTTACAAAAAAAATATCTATTAAAAGATTTTACACTGTATCTGAAAAACAATTGGTCTTCGAATATATGTATTTACAGTTTTTAAGCGAAAATGTTTAACTTCATGTTCCCTACCACCTCTCAAAGTTTGTCGACACATTTATAGAACACCCTGTATATTTTCATCGGAGTAGCAGATTCAAGTACATATTTCCATGATTCACTGATATACAAATATGCTTAGTCGTAGATAGGTACAAGCTAGTACTTAGGACTTGTAACTTTCGATCAAAAAATTTAATTTCAAAAATACTGTTAGGTATAAACTATTGATTTTAGATTAAATCAGATATAGAAATCAGCTCATAAAGTTACTCAAGAGTTTACATTACAACCCAGTTTAAAATGTCCTTGCAACTGTGCCCTTGAACTGGACCATTAGCCAGTCCAAAAGGGCATGGATGAGTGAAAATCTAGCTCGGATTAAATGTGTAGATTCACATAAACAACAAAGAAAATACTCACATGGCCTGGATAAATTCAGGGGCTCATAGGACAGAGACGGGATCATTTACGATCAAGACGGCCACCGGTCTTGGATAGTCCCCTGTTTCTGGATTGGGAGAAGCGCTGTTGCCGACTACACTTGTATCCAGAAAACACTCAATTTCTTTGATGTTGAACACGAAAACCCGTAAACTTGTTGAATACACTTCGCGACGACTAGCAGCTAGCTGCTAAATAGCTAATTGGGTAACAGTATCCAGTGGGAAACATTGAAAAAGCATGTATAAACTGGGTTTGTGGCAACCGTGTGGATAGATGTTGCAGCTGTTTATTTTCAAGGATCACTGGAGCCCTACAGGCAACCACACAACTCTAATTATGTGTGCACACTGTGGAATTTTATAACCTTGACATCGAAATACATAATTTGAAATGTCCGAGAATTGATTAACGATCACCACCGTTTTATCACCCCTAGCGAAACGCGACTAAAAAATGACTACAAATCTGGCGTGCAGCTCGCCTTGCCCGATTTTCGTGGCTGCGCACCTTGACGTATTTTGGATGAGGTGATGGGAAACAGCTGAGCGACCTAAAAAAAACTTGGACAGATCAACTAACCACGTTGCCACTTGGCAAATTGTCCTGGAATTTCAATAATATTAAAAGTAGTTTAAATCGTTTCCAACAAAGACGACTGATTTTTTAGTTTTGCAAGTACTAATTAAAATCAACTTTCAGTCATATTAAATAATCCGTTTAGATTCCAAATTGATTTTCAACTGATGAGTTTTTAGAATATCGCAAATTTGAATTTCTTCTTGACGTATTGCAATCGCGAGTGACTTGCATCTTCATACGTGGCTTGCAAATCCCAGCAACCATCTCTGAAGATGATAGCCATATGTGCTTGTAAAACGTCTGGAAGAAATTAATCGCAATTTCAAAAACCATGAAAATGCACGAAAAAAAGCCGCTTTTTCTTTTACGTTTTTTGAGCATAATGAAAGAACTGATATTAATGCAGCTTTTAAAATACCTACAAACGTTTAAAAGAGCGCTACAGAACATCAGAAGAATGCCATCGATTTCGAAATTTAATATATGTAATATACCAAAGACTAACAGCACATGGAATATGTTGGACTTAATAAAGCGGTATGCACGCCTCTGGTAAAATTTAAAAAAATAAAACAATTGAAAATAGAACCTCTTACCAGCCTTCACTACACACCAAGTTTCATTACAATTAATAACAGCTTTGCACAAATTTGTAGTTTTGTATTTTTTGAAGTAAAGTTTAACGGCTTGTATTTCGAAAACGAACTCAGTTTAGATAGGATATTTGGATTTTTTCATATTTGGGCAAAATCTATTTACCTATTCCATTTTTCTTTTTTCTGGCCTTGAAGCCCAAACGATGAACATCAAATTTTCCGATGCCTTGATAAAAAGCTCATAAGTTTTTTTCTGAAGGCCACAGCAAGCCGATCCCGATGCAAACAATATTTTGGGGCCGTAATTCAACAATTAAATATAAAAATCTAGATGAAGTTGAAAAGAACATCTTTATGGCAGTGTTAAATATACTTTAATCGGACAGTTTTTTCACTTTTTGTAAATAATATAGATGAATGATTATTTGCAATCAATCTATTCGAAAAGCGTTCAAATAAGCTACACTCTCTTCAATTTTCTTAAGTAGGTACACATAAAAGCTTCAAAAACAACCCGACAAAATTAAACTAGGATTTCAATATTATAGATTTTTGACAAAAGCTATTATTTTGTGAAATCTGCATTGTTTTATAAAATAAAAATAATCAAAGCGTAAAATATTACGTCACGAAAACAGGTAGCTAGTTTTACTAGGGTTTGCATAGTTCCTAGAACCCATGATTATATTTGAACAGACACTGTATTTCAGGAGCTATTTCAAGATAATATTTTAATCATATTCTTCTAATTCTATAGGGAGTCCAGTAACCACATGATCAAAATGATACTGCGATATTCTTTACATCAAAAGAAAACGATCTGACCTAACTGTTATTAACAAAAATGTCTGGCTCCTCTGCTATTGATGGTCAAAGTTAGTCAAAAAAATTTATCTTTTTCGAAATATCGGGAGAATGGTACGATGTATTTTGGTGAAACTCGCTTTGAATTTGTTCCTATGTAAGACTCATATTTTGATGAAACAAGATTTGAAATATAAGTGCGCATTTGCTCCCATCGGATAGACGGGACAAATAAAAATAAAAACATCTTCTTTTAAGTGAAATATATTAATTTCCATTTGTTCAGTACATTTGAGCTAAACAAATCACATGGATATTATTTATTTTTATTGCAACATTAATTTAAAAAATGTGGAAATGCGCGTTTACATTTACTCAGAACTATGGACCAGTCAGAACCACCAACAGAAGTAGGTGCGCCCTTTTGATTTAGAACTAGTCATTAAGCAGCTAAAAACTTTTCGCAATAAGGTAACTGCGAAAGTGTTTAAAAATTTTTCTAAAATATGTTTTGTTTGTATAATATGAATTTTTTTAAATATAGGCAACACCGTACGCCAACCTCAACCATAACATGATACATTTACAATGTAACCTTAGTTTCTGTCAACGTGTGTTCATGTAGGAAAAGCACCAAATCAAACCTCCTTTTTTTAGTTTTGCAATTAATATACTAATTACGTAAGCAGTTTCACTGAACTCTAGCTATTTGTTATTCTACGTCAATTACAAACATTTGAAATGCACTTCTTAGTGCTGTGCATCACTCAATTTTCTTGTTTACTTTGTTACAGATTGGGATGGATACAGTGGATATTCAGGCTGTGGAATCTAAATTAAGCGATGTGACTGTTACAGCCATTCCAATGGGCAGATCCCCACATCCCCTTCAAAATTATAATTTACACAGAGATCTACATTCACATAATAATACACACAGCAGTACCATCTCCCCTAGCACCTCTGTCGGATTGGGAAGCCCGCAAACAGGTACATTTTAGTAATAGAACAGAACGCAGTTATGTTTATTATTATATGTTAGATTATTTCAAGCTTCTTCTACAGGGCTTTCAAAATATGCTCAATTGCTCAATGCTATTGAGGAAATGGGCAAGGAAGTACGACCCACGTATGCAGGTAGTCGCACTTCGGCAGAAAAGCTCAAGAGGAGTATAATTTCAGCTAGATTGTTGGTGAGGGAGTGTTTAGTTGAAACTGAAAGGAGTGCGCGTCAATAACCACTGCTCACTTGATAAGTTTAATATTTTTACTTAATTAATCTTTGTTGATACCAGAAAAGTGATATTTTGAGATACATTTTTCCGTAGAAACTTCTGAAACATTTCTACATTCGGAAATGTCGCTTTATGTTAAACTGCACTCACACGTAGTTAAAACCAACTACTATCTGAAAATATGTTCTTGTCCCAGACCTACTTACCGTTTATGCCTGCGAAGCAATTGTGATAATATTCCAAATAATTAAAACAAAGTACCATAGACAGTACAAATAAGATAGTTAATAAATGTAGTATTGATATATTTCGTACACTGGAACATTTTCATTTAACTTGTAGTGGATAATACATCTTTTGTATTGCACTTGATTTATGTTCTTTGTGGACTTTATAGTGCTTGTCGGTTTTACAATCCATTGATATAAAACAATCTGAAGAAATAAACAAATTCCAATTGTATCAAAAAATCAAAACTGCCAAATTAGCAGCTCAGGTGAAAATATTCTTAACGTTAACTATTTTTGTATTAGAGTATTAAATAGATCTATATTTACATTGACTAACTTAGTCCTGCATAGCAAAACTTCCCAAATAAAATATTTAAAACAAACTTCAGCATTAGTTTTTCAGTAAGATTTAATTTAATTAAAGTATCCTGTTGTCTGCAGGTGCTAAAGTGAATGTGATTTATTCTTCAATCCAATGCATTACGAATTGCAGTTGGAAGATTTTTAGCTTCATTTCTCGCTTGTGTACTATATTAATTGCTGCTCGTTTTTTCCTCTCCAGATTCATTACTCGTATGTGCTGAGACCGGTGGCAAATAATAGGCCTTAACGAGGCCATGAAGTCGGGCAACCTCAGCATCTTCTCTTTCTAAATTCCTCACCATTTGAGTGAATTTAATTATACCTTCCCTACTCTCCGGATATCCATAGTCCCTGATAACTTCTATTTGAATCTGCATCACAATGGGGAAAATAAACTGCATCATTTTGAGCATTTCATTGCCAACATTGTCTCGGGCTTCATCGATCTTCTGAGAGTTTTCTGGCAAATTTAAATGGTCCAAAGTTTTGTTGAGAATTTCTATGGCAAGTTCTTGTGATAAAGGTGAACTTGGATCAATTTTCGACATTATGGAGTAAATATAATTCAAAGACAACCAAAACAATAATTGTTAGGTTAATTGACAATTCCACATAACCTGCATCTGAACAGCGTTGTCAACTTGATAAAATGAAAGCACAATTAGGAAAAATTATAGAACCATTTCTAGATAATGCCTGCAATTAAACTAAGATAATTTTAGTGTCTTGATCTCTAAATATTGAGCTGATTGAGGTCACAGTTCCCATCAACGTGTAATTTAAGTCTTTAATTTGTACTTGGATGTCTAAAATTTTCAGTTGCACAAAGGAACAGTTTGATGAATTTTGAAATGATAAAACTGAGTGATCCAGAAGATTTTACGAAGAGCCCAAAAATATTGAAAGAAGATTAGTGCATCAGCTCAAAAAAATCAGTTAATTTCAGCTACCAAATAAAAAGTTCTGGTAGTTTTTGTACCAAGACACTCAAAATTCCTCACTTGCCAAAGCGGATGAACTCTGTTGTTTTATCAAAATCATCATCATACATAAGACCAATTTCACAGTTTCATTAAAATCCATCGATTCCTAAAATTAAAAAAAAAACACAATTTTTCCTGCTGATTCATGTGAAAATGAAGTTAATTATTTTATCCGTCCTGGAAGATGGAGAGGAAAGTTGGTAAGGTCTTATTTATAAATCCCGTATATGAATCGGACATTAGTTTAACATTCCTTATTTTCAAGCTCAATACGTCACTTTTTTGTATCCATAATGAGTGTTTTTTGCACTTTTGAATTATTTATATTTTTCTTTAGATATCGCAATCTCACTGCACTGAATTTAGTTAATATTATATTTACCTTGCTTACCGATATTGAGCAACATGTACAAATATGAAATATTTGAATGATTAATTCCCAAGATTAAAAGCCATTATTTTTGTTAGATATGTTTACTAAATAGTAATGCTCGAAATACGAGAAACTGTAAAACACACAAAAAGGTTGCACTATTTACGTGTGGGTCAATACAAAAAGCCTTTTTAAAAAAGGTCTTTATTAGAAGCAGGATACAAATGAACTGGTTTCGCTTTGTTTCGAGTTGCAATTGTAACCTCGGTACATGTTCTTATCTTTGCTTAGTGTTTAATTAATTATTGCTTACAATTTAAGTTGCAAGAATGTAACTCCTCCGCCCTTAGCTAAAAACATACCCACAGGGTGTGGTTTTATAGATATATTTAAATTATACAATTATGATGGGCTCGGAAGTATGTGTTTTTGAGCGTTTTTCTTTAACAGTTTTGTATATAGCGTAAACGCAAGCAATAATAATTAATGTCCATAAATTGACGCGGGTCACTTCTAGGGGTGTTGTCAATTCTTGAAGATGGATTTTCGGGTTTTCTAATTCGTTGGCGATCTGCTTCGCTTCTTCGATATTGATTGATTGTAAATCAATATAAGGGTGCAGATAATGTGCAGATAGGTTCAACATTGGTAGGGAGATGCTCTCGTAGTTTAATAGGGTTGATTGTACAGGTTGTAGCGTAAACTCCTCGATTTTCAGGCTACATTCGTTAGT